TTCCTCTTCCTCCTCCTCCTCCTCCTCCTCCTCCTCCTCCTCCTCCTCTCCGCAAACCCTACCTCCTCCTAGCACTGATGATGTTATCTAGTTGGGTCATGGAACGTCTCCAAGAATAGGTGGACAAAAATGCCAAATCTGATCTGAACATCTGGCTGACTGCAATGAATCCTAATAACACATAGCCAGATGTTTATATTGGATCTGGCGTTTGGATGCCCTTCTCGAGTACTTCCCAAGTTTTGGGGATAGGCAGATGTGGTGGTTTGATGTTGTTAAAGGTAGGATTTAAGCTATTCCGAGTCAAGCTGCCTTTCGCAATTGACTGACGGGGATTTTGTCGATGCCGAAGGGGTTCAATTGGTATTATTACAGTCTGTCACACAGTCAGCCAGATGTTTAGACTGGATTTGGCATTTCTGTCCACTTATGAGGTCCTTCCCAAGGGCCTGGGATGGGCAGACGTTGATGTTTAATCATATTAAAAGTATAATTGTAGGATTTAAGCTGTTCCGAGTCAGGCTGCCTTTCGCAATTGACCGATGGGGTTTTTGTCAATGCCGAAGGGGTTCTGGGCTTGCACTTGAGGTACCTATTGGTGCCATCAGAAACACAGCAAACAAGGAACAAGCCGGATAAATAAGTAAATTGTTTTAACCATCTTGAACCTCTGGATTTAGCTGAAGAACCAGATGTGGCAGCTGCTGAAAGGACATGATCACCTGCAGGACGAGTTCTCCGTCTTCTTCGATCACCTGCGCCCCTCGGCCAGCCGCCTGGGGGATTTTGAAGAAATCAATTGGACGGAGGAGAAAGAATACGAGGTGGGTGATGGGTGGGGGGTCTCCCTGGCCTTTTCTGGTCCTCCCGGGAAGGGGAATGGATTGGGGCGGGGGCGGGAGGCCAGGAGTTCCGATCCTCCCAACTGACGAGGCCGATGGGAGGCACACCTGACGCTGCAAGAGGTGAACCTCTCCTTCCAGTTTGATGGGTTTGAAGAAGTCTCGCTGCCAGACATGGAGGAAGAGGAGGAGCCCCCCAAAGTCCACGCCGCCTCGAAGAACAAGAGACGGAAGGAGCTGGGGAGTCAGAATGCCGAGAAGGTGGAAATCCTATCATTGTCTGTCTGTCTGTCTGTCTCTCTCTCATCTATCTATCTATCTATCTATCTATCTATCTATCTATCTATCTATCTATCTATCTATCTATCTATCTATCTATATCTATCTATCTATCTATCTATCTATCTATCTATCTATCTATCTATCTATCTATCTATCTATCTATCTATCTATGTTATCTCTTTATCATGACTCTCTCCCTCTATTATTATCTGTCTATCTTCTATGTAATCTGTCTGTCTATCTATCTATCAATCTATCTATCTATCCCTCCCTCTTTCGTTATCTATCATCTTTGTAATCTATTCCATCTATCTGTCTATCTATCTGTCTATCTATCTGTCTATCTATCTATCTATCATCTATCTACCTACCTACCTACCTACCTACCTATCTCAACCTCTATCATTATCTATCTATCATCTTTGTAATCTATCTATCTATCCATCCATCCATCCATCCATCCATCCATCCATCCATCCATCCATCCATCCATCAATCTAATCTAATCTAATCTAATCTAATCTATCCAGGCTTTGATTGGGAGCAGCCCAGAGTTGGTCGAAACATGGACAGCCAGATCAACCTTTTTATTAAAAGTAAATAAATTCACAGCTCCTGCGGGAACTGCCATCGCTAAGCCAGGCAGTCACGTAGTGGCTCTCTCTTAACAATTGCTTTGCTTAATGACGGAGTTGCCGGTCCCGATTAGAGCTCGTTAAGCGAGGACGGTGGAGAGACTTGCCCTGGAATGGAGCCAGCTCTTCGGGGACTATTAAGGGACACATCGCAGCCGGCAGAAGGCGGGTCAGCCCTTCCCACAGAGAGGCTGGCTTGACCGATCCTGTGGCTCACGTTGGTTTCCGGGTCCCCTTTCAGGAGGCCGAGTGGCTGGATGGGCACAAGGACTGGTGTGGCTCCTGCCACGAGGGCAGCGGGGACCCCCGGCTGAAGCGGAGCAAGCGGCGGAGTTGTGCCCACTGCTGCAGCAAGGTCAGGAGGGGGCCGGGGTCTTGGGGAAGGGGCCGGAGAGGGCCAAAAGCCCCTCCGGAGGGTCCTCAAACCAGCCAAGTGGGAGAATCGGGGAAAGGGGGTCCGAAGCTTCGTGGCCAGCCGTCTGTCTCCCGAAAGATTGACGGGCGTGGCTGGGTTCTTCCCGCAGGTGGGAGACCCCAAAGGCCCCAGAAGCAAAGAGCCGGGTGAGTTGGCCGAGGGCCGTGGGCAGCGGGAGTCCAGCCCTCGGCCGGAAGGGAAGGAGCCCCCAGAGGGCAGCGCGGAGAGGAGGGACGATGGGGAAGCCGTCCCCGGCAGGATCAGAGCCGCCAGCCGGAAGGGCGAGTCGGCCGGAGGAGGTGGGTTTGGGATGGGAAGGGAGGGAGGGAGGGAAGATGTGGTCGGATTAGGGAAAGGGGGTCGGTCTGCAGGATGACCGGCTGGATTTTGGATGGGGGGAGGGGCTGTCCCATCAGATGGAAATGTCCCTTTGGGGGAAGGAAAGTTTTTCCTTTCCTTTCCCTTCCTTTCCTTTCCTTCGTCTATCTTCCTTTCCTTTCCTTCTCTTCCCTTCTTCTATCTTCCTTCCCTTCCCTTCCTTCTCTTAGTCCTCCCTCCCTCCCATTCTTCCTTCCCTTCTATTTTCCTTTCCTTTCCTCCTCTTCCTTTTCCTTTGCTTTCCTCATTCATTCCCTCCTACCCTCCCTCCCCCCTCCATTGTTCCCTCTTCCTTTCTTTCCTTCCCTCCCTCCCTCCCTATTTCTTCGCTCCTTCTTTCCCATCTTCCCTCCTTACCTCCTTTTTTCCAACCCTCCTCTCCTTCCTCCCTTCCTCTTTCCTCCCTCCCCATTTCTTCATTTCTTTCTTCCCTGCCTCTTCCCTTCATTCTTTCCATCCCTCCTCACCACCCTCCCTCCTTCCTCCCCCCCCAGCTCAGCAAAACTGTCCCCCCTTAGAAAACTCACCTCCTGGCTCCAGTTGGATTCCCCCTCCTCTCCCCCCACTCCCGTTTCCCTCTCTCTTTCTGCCTCCCAGGTGCTCGTCTGGACGGGAAGCCCCTTTCGTCCAGAGATGCCCCCCCGGAGGGCCTTCTCCCATCGGCTGGCAAAGCNACCATCTTGAACCTCTGGATTTAGCTGAAGAACCAGATGTGGCAGCTGCTGAAAGGACATGATCACCTGCAGGACGAGTTCTCCGTCTTCTTCGATCACCTGCGCCCCTCGGCCAGCCGCCTGGGGGATTTTGAAGAAATCAATTGGACGGAGGAGAAAGAATACGAGGTGGGTGATGGGTGGGGGGTCTCCCTGGCCTCTTCTGGTCCTCCCGGGAAGGGGAATGGATTGGGGCGGGGGCGGGAGGCCAGGAGTTCCGATCCTCCCAACTGACGAGGCCGATGGGAGGCACACCTGACGCTGCAAGAGGTGAACCTGGCTTTGCCTCTCCTTCCAGTTTGATGGGTTTGAAGAAGTCTCGCTGCCAGACATGGAGGAAGAGGAGGAGCCCCCCAAAGTCCACGCCGCCTCGAAGAACAAGAGACGGAAGGAGCTGGGGAGCCAGAATGCCGAGAAGGTGGAAATCCTATCATTGTCTGTCTGTCTGTCTGTCTCTCTCTTATCTATCTATCTATCTATCTATCTATCTATCTATCTATCTATCTATCTATCTATCTATCTATGTTATCTCTTTATCATGACTCTCTCCCTCTATTATTATCTGTCTATCTTCTATGTAATCTGTCTGTCTATCTATCTATCAATCTATCTATCTATCCCTCCCTCTTTCGTTATCTATCATCTTTGTAATCTATTCCATCTATCTGTCTATCTGTCTATCTATCTATCTATCTATCTATCTATCATCTATCTACCTACCTACCTACCTACCTACCTACCTATCTCAACCTCTATCATTATCTATCATCTTTGTAATCTATTCTATCTATCTATCTATCTATCTATCTATCTATCTATCTATCTATCTATCTATCTATCTATCTATCTATCTATCTATCTATCTATCTATCTATCTATCTATCTATCTATCCATCCATCCATCCATCCATCCATCCATCCATCAATCTAATCTAATCTAATCTAATCTAATCTATCCAGGCTTTGATTGGGAGCAGCCCAGAGTTGGTCGAAACATGGACAGCCAGATCAACCTTTTTATTAAAAGTAAATAAATTCACAGCTCCTGCGGGAACTGCCATCGCTAAGCCAGGCAGTCACGTAGTGGCTCTCTCTTAACAATTGCTTTGCTTAATGACGGAGTTGCCGGTCCCGATTAGAGCTCGTTAAGCGAGGACGGTGGAGAGACTTGCCCTGGAATGGAGCCAGCTCTTCGGGGACTATTAAGGGACGCATCGTGGCTGGCGGAAGGCGGGTCAGCCCTTCCCACAGAGAGGCTGGCTTGACCGATCCTGTGGCTCATGTTGGTTTCCGGGTCCCCTTTCAGGAGGCCGAGTGGCTGGACGGGCACAAGGACTGGTGTGGCTCCTGCCACGAGGGCAGTGGGGACCCCCGGCTGAAGCGGAGCAAGCGGCGGAGTTGCGCCCACTGCTGCAGCAAGGTCAGGAGGGGGCCGGGGTCTTGGGGAGGGGGCCGGAGAGGGCCAAAAGCCCCTCCGGAGGGTCCTCAAACCAGCCAAGTGGGAGAATCGGGGAAAGGGGGTCCGAAGCTTCGTGGCCAGCCGTCTGTCTCCCGAAAGATTGACGGGCGTGGCTGGGTTCTTCCCGCAGGTGGGAGACCCCAAAGGCCCCAGAAGCAAAGAGCCGGGTGAGTTGGCCGAGGGCCGTGGGCAGCGGGAGCCCAGCCCTCGGCCGGAAGGGAAGGAGCCCCCCGAGGGCAGCGCGGAGAGGAGGGACGATGGGGAAGCCGTCCCCGGCAGGATCAGAGCCGCCAGCCGGAAGGGCGAGTCGGCCGGAGGAGGTGGGTTTGGGATGGGAAAGGAGGGAGGGAGGGAAGATGCGGTCGGATTAGGGAAAGGGGGTCGGTCTGCAGGATGACCGGCTGGATTTTGGATGGGGGGAGGGGCTGTCCCATCAGATGGAAATGTCCCTTTGGGGGAAGGAAAGTTTTTCCTTTCCCTTCCTTTCCTTTCCTTCGTCTATCTCCCTTCACTTCCCTCTCTCTCAGTCCTCCCTCCCTCCCATTCTTCCTTCCCTTCCCTTCCCTTCTTCTATTTTCCTTTCCTTTCCTTCATCTATCTTCCTTCCCTTCCACTTCCTTTCCTTTCCTCTCCTCCTTTCCCTTTCCCTTTGCTTTCCTCATTCATTCCCTCCCTCCCCCCTCCATTGTTCCCTCTTCCTTTCTTTCCTTCCCTCCCTCCCTCTCTCCCTATTTCTTCACTCCTTCTTTCCCATCTTCCCTCCTTACTTCCTTTTTTCCACCCCTCCTCTCCTCCCTCCCTCCCCATTTCTTCGTTTCTTTCTTCCCTTCATTCTTTCCATCCCTCCCCCCCCCCCCCCCCCCCCCCCCCCCCCCCCCCCCCCCCCCCCCCCCCCCCCCCCCCCCCAGCTCAGCCAAACTGTCCCACCTCCTGGTCCAGTTGGATTCACCCTCCTCCTCCCCCCACTCCCGTTTCCCTCTTTTTTTCTGCCTCCCAGGTGCTCGTCCGGACGGGAAGCCCCTTTCGTCCAGAGATGCCCCCCCGGAGGGCCTTCTCCCATCGGCTGGCAAAGCCCCGGAGTCCTCTCCTCCCCCTGCCCCTCCCTGCCCTCCAAACGTGGGCGAGCCCGCCAGGATTTCTCCCGTGGCTGCGCCGCTGCCTCCGAGGGGGGCCAGCCCCCCCAAACCCCACCGTCTGAAAAGCAGCCCTGGCCCCACGGAGGGCAAAAGAGAGGTGGGACTCGGCCCCAGGAGCGGGGAGCCACCTGCAGCCCCCAAGCCAGAGCGTTCGGAGACCGGAAGCCCTTCCAAAGCAGCCAGGCCAGATCCTGGTTCTGCTCCCTCCCTCCTTCCTCCTTCTCGGTTGGATCTCACAGAGCCGGGCGGCCAGCCCCCCTCGGTGACCCCAAAGCCCAAAGCAAGGGAGATGCCGCCCGTGGCCTCGGAAGACCTCGCCCCGAAGGCTTTGGGGGCGAGCGAGGGCCTGCAGGCTCCACCGCAGATCCCCGCAGCTGCCAGCCTGCAGGCCGCGAACCCAACCGGAAAAGCATCCGAGGGAGGGGATGTCCATTCGCACAAGGAAGAGGGGTTGACCCCGGTCGCGGTCGGTGGCCCGGTGGCAGGGGAAGACCCTCAGCAGAGGACCATCGAGGCCACCGTGTGTGCCAAGAACATCAAGGTCAGCTCGACGGGGGAAAAGGTGGTCTTGTGGACCAGGTGGGTGCCCTCCTTCTTTTCTCTGATGCTCGTCTTAAGAAGACGGTCGGGGTCTTTGGGGACTAGAGACCTGGGCTGAGAGAATAACCAGGATTGGCTGAATTCAGACAAGCCACTCGACCAGATCAGTGGAAGGCCTGGGTTTTCTCCAGTTGTTTTTGCCGATGGGTGAAATCTAAATTCCCTTCCTACGTCCTTCTTCTTCCAGGGAGGCTGACCGGGTGATCCTGACCACCTGCCAGGAGCGAGGGGCTGATCCGAAGACTTTCAGCGCCATCTCTGAACAGCTGGGCAACAAGACCCCAGACGAGGTGGGCCTTCCTTCTCCTGGGGGAGGGGTCTCCCCACCCACCCCAATCTGGCCCAAATGTGTCCCCGGCAGGACCCAGCAGGGCGGTGGATCTTGGGAAAAGAAGCAGAAATTTAATTTTTGCTAGAGGAGTCTCCAAAACCTGGCCATTTTAAGATTTGTGGGCTTCAACTCCCAGAATTTAGAAAGCCAGGATGTGCTGGCTGAGGAATTCTGGGAGCTGAATTCTGCACAAGCTAGCTAGGGGATTCTGGGAGTTGAAGAAGTCTGCCTGGGTAATTTGGGGACTCGGAAATCCATATATTTTGGCCTGAAGAATTCTGGGAATTGAAATCTGCGTTAAGCCAACCTCAGGGATTCTGGGAGTTAAGGTCCGTACATGCCGGTGGGGAATTCTGCTTGTCGAAATCCATACTTGCTGCCTGGGGAATTCTGGGAATCGGAAGTTTGCACGAGCCAAGCTGGGGAATTCTGGGAGTTGAAGCCTATACATGCTGCCTGGGGGATTCTGGGACTCGAAGTCTCTATATTCTGGCTGAGGAATTCTGGGAAATGAAATCTGCCTAAGCTAGACTGGGAGTTAAGGTCCATACATGCTCCCTGGCGGATTCTGGGACTTGGAAGTCCACATAGTCTGGCCTGGGGGATTCTGGGAGTTGAGGTTTGCGCGAGCCAAGATGGGGAATTGTCTGGGACGTGAAGCCCACCCATCTTCCACGCCTTGAGACTCACGGCAGCTTCTTCCACGCAGGTGGCCCACCGTTTCCGCGAACTGATGACCTTGTTCCACACGGCCTGCGAGGTCAGTTCGGACGACGAGGAAGACGGGATGAGCACCAGCAACGCCGACCAACTTTCCGACAAGGAGCCCGCCCTGTCGGAGGACGACCCGGAAGAACCGGGCTTTTAATCCGGGTCAAGCCGTCCTCTCTGGCAGAGAGGAACATTTGTGGGGGTCTGGCCGTGCGTTTTGGCCCACCTTCGCTCCCTTTGGAGACCCCGAAGATTTGCCGGTTTTTAATTCCCCCCTGCGAAAGATGGAGGGGAGGAAAAAACCAACCATCTCTCGGATCTGTAAATATATTTTTTTTTAAAGTAGGAAATGTATAAATTAACGGGGATGGGGGGCTGAATATTTATTGAGCGGTGGCATTTTAAAGAATTAAAGCAGACCGTCGAGGCGGCGTTTCCTCCGGACGCCTTTATTTATTTTTTAAAACGCCGTCCAAAAATCTCCAAAACATGCCAAGGAGGGCGTTCTCGCTGGGTTTTTATTATTTCTCTGATTTTAAACGCGATCCGAGCCCCGGGAAGCGGCTCAGTCGGTATCGTCGCTGTCCGAGTTTTCGTCCAGGCTGCCTTTTTTGTAGCAGAGGGAGAGCGTCCGCAGCTCGTCCAGGGCCTCCTGGAAGTCGTCCGCCTCCATCCCCGCGGAGAAGAAGCTCGCCCAGCGCCGCAGGTCCGTTCCGTGCAGCTCGCGGTAAACGTCGCCGAGGGTTTGGTACAAGCCCGCCGAGGATTGGAAGGCAGCTAAGATCGGGAGGCTTTCGACCTCTGTTAAGAGGAGAGAGAGAAAAATTGCTGAGTGGTGGGATTTCCTGATTCGGCTAAATTAGTAAGTCCGTGGTTTGGGTAGGATTCGGTACTACCCATTGACCGGGCCTCCTTCGCTTCCTCAAACCGGCTGATCATCATTGTAAGCCTCCCTATTTCTCAACCTTGGCAGATGTTGGGACTTCCACTACCCAGAATTCCCCAGCCAGCAGGAAGTCCACCCATCTTAAAGCAGGATGCCTGAGGAATTCTGGGTGTTGACGTCCAAATATCTTAAGCGTTCTGGCTGGTGAATTCTGGGAGTTGAAGCCCATCTATATTAAGCAGGCTGGCTGGGGAATTCTGGGAGTCGAAGTCCACCTATCGTAAAGCAGGTTGGCTGGGGAATTCTGGGAGTTGAAGTCCTCCCATCCATATTAAAGCATTCCGGCTGGGGAATTCTGGGAATTGAAGCCCACCCATCTTAAATTATGATGGCCAGGGAATTCTGGGAGTTGAAGCCCACCCGTCTTCAATTATGCTGGCTGGGGAATTCTGGGATTTCAAAACCGGGTGAAGACACTGCTTCAGCTAAAGCAATCTGGAGCACAAACACCAGCATCTACGATCGGGCCACACCCTGCAAGGCCACTGCGGCTTAGCACAGCACAATGTGAGCCCCTTGATGCATTCCCGAAGCCACACCCTTGTGTGTTTGTGTGTCTGTCCTTACTCGCTGGGCTGCGGGACGGCTTCTCGGAGAGGAGTCCATGCTTGTTCAGGAAAGGCGAGAAAAACTGGGGGTACGGAGCCAAAAGCTTGCAGGGCCCTTGCAGCAAAAGCGAGGTGCTGTGGGAGAAAAGGACCGGGAGGTTTGAAGGGGAATGTTTCCCCCCCCCCAATCCCCTCTCTCTTTCCCTCCCTCCCTCCTCCCCCCCCCTTGCCCAGGTTGGCCGGACCACCAACCTTAGGGTCTGGGGAGAGACGTTGTGTAAGTAGTGGGCCAGGACTTCCTGTCCGGTCTCACACATGTGAAGGATGGACTTGGGTTCGGTCCCTGGAGGGGCGTTGCTGGAAGGAAAATAAGATGGGAGAGACCCCAAGTTACAACGGGGAGAGGGCGGGATTGTGAAGAGACCCCAGGAGCAGCCATAGGGAGGGCAGAACGATGAATTGTGTCACTGTCGGCCCAAAATGCCGTCTCTCAATCAGCCAGGAGGCCAGAAATCTGATTATTCCTCCAGATCAGGGGTCTTCCAACGTGGCCCTTTGATGACGTGTGGATTTCAACTCCCAGAATGCTGAGGAATTCTGGGAGTTGAAGTCCACAAGTCCTAAAAGGGCAGACAACCCAAAGCAGACTCCCTGACTTAGCTGGAAGACAGGCAGTTTTTTACTTACAACCATTTGTTTACACGCCAACATTTCTGTCGTTAAGGCAGACATTTGTCGAGTTGATTTTTGCCCCATTTTATGACCTTTCTCGCCACGGTTGCTAAAGGAGTCACTGCAGTTGATAAGCTAGTCGCTCATCCACTGATTTGCAAAGAGGAATATAAACACAAACACACACAGACACACAAGCACAATTACGGGCACGGACAGACCCTGTAAGAGGGTGAGAGCAAACCACACACAAACCAAGGCCCACCTCACTTGCTGCCGCTTGCTGATCCCTCGCAACACAACCGACTGTGCGAAGCAGCCGGCATCGCCTCGGTTGCCGCAAGACGACAACGGACACCAGGCCGTGCTGGGTTGTTGGCTGTACAAGGCGTCGGGGAGGGACTGGTCCTTTGCCACGGGGAAGGGAAGGGCGGCTGAGGCCTCGGCCACCTGGGGGAGGGGGGAGATGTCTCTTTTCGGGGGTGTGATCTGGTTCTTCTGAGTTTTAGACACACACACAAACCCCGTGGTTCCCCCGAAAACCAAGGTAGAGTCAGGACTATCCAGGTTATACAGGAAGTCCTCAACTTGTTTGTTTGCTCACTGGCCAAGGTTAGAACGGCATTGAAAAAAGGGACTTATGACCACTTTACACGATATGATCAAAATTCAGACAGGCAACTGACTCGTATTTATGACGGTTGCAGTGTTCCAGATTATCTATCTATCTATCTATCTATCTATCTATCTATCTATCTATCTATCTATCTATCTATCTATCTATCTATCTATCTAATCTTTTTCTATCTATAGCTACCTAAATCTATCATCTATCAATCTATCATCTATATCTCTATCATCTATCAATTATCTATATATCTATATCTTATATCATCTATCAATCTATATATATCTTCTATCTATATCATCTATATCCATCTATCTGTATCTTCTCTGTCTGTCTGTCTGTCTGTCTGTCTGTCTGTCTGTCTGTCTATCTATCTATCTATCTATCTATCTATCTATCTATCTATCTATCTATCTATCTATCTATCTATCTATCTCTTTCCGCATCCTTCAGGTAGTGGAGCAGACAGCTAATATCATTTTATATTATTTAAATATCATTGAAATACATTTAAATATCTATAGCCAGGGGAACCAGATTGTCCAAGTCGAACGGACGTACCTTCCGCCCGGAGAAATTCAGGCTTTCGGTCAGGCTGGCCATGGAGATGTCCGAGGCCTGGAGCCGGTATGGGATGGTGAGCGTGTCCAGGGCGGTGGCCAGGATGGCGCTCGTGTGATAATCCAGAGAGGGCTAGATGGAATGATAAAAAACAGAAATACCCCCGTATTTTAGGCAGTCCGCGACTTACAAGGGTCCATTTAACGACCATTCTAAGTGACTTTGACCATTTTTTTCACCCTGGACGGTTGCAGCATCCCCGTGGCCACGTGATCAAGACTCAAGACGCTTGGCAACTTGACTCCTATTTATGACGGTTGCAGCGTGCCTGGGTTACCTGATCCCCTTTGGCGACATTCTGACAAGCAAAAGTCCAAGGGGAAGCCAGGTTAACTTTTAACCACTATCTTGCTAACTTGAGAACTGCAGTCATCCCCTTAACAATCGTGGCTAGAAAAGTCGTAAAAGGGGGCAAAAGTCACTTACCAACCGTCTGGCTTAGCAACAGAAAATTTGGGCTCGGTTGTGGCCGTAAGCCAAGGACTGCCTGTGCAAGGAGCTTTGGGAGCAGGATCAAGGGGGGGGAGGGAGGTGCCCACCTCCCACCCCGCCAGCCCAAAATCCCTGATGCCTCCCCATAAATTCCACCCCACCGTCGTTCCGTGGCCCGAGAGGCTTGCATTTACGAAGGCTCACCTCGTAGTGGACGTACGGCAGAGCCACCGGGCCATCCAGTTTGAGCCCCAGGTTCCCGTTTAGCGACAAGGGGCAGAAGAGCGAACTGTGGCTGGCAAGCCGGACGATGCCCAGTGCCGTGTTCATGAGCCGGTAGAAATTCCGATGGGGGAGCTGCCGAGAGAGAGAGAGAAAGGCAAGCGCCTCCTTCAGCCTAAGGTACAATCGCAGGACATGAACCTCAGAAGTTATTCCACTCCCCAAAAAAAACAAAGGAACGATGAGGCAGGTCACCAGACGACGAGAGGATGCAAGTCCTGCTTTCAGCATCCCTAAATGTTGATTTTCGCCCTTTGCATGCCGCTAGTCCTCAGCGAAGCCTGGGACCTAGTCTTGCTCATCTTCGGGGCCACTGCGGAGAAGACGGGAGCCCCAGATTGGTGTCGTGCTGCTGGTGCTGGCTTCGAAAGCATGAGGTGGTGGGTTCTAGTTCTGCCATCTAGCTTGGGTTGAGTTTGGGCCCAAGCACCAGGAGACAGTGAGTTCTAGTCCTGCCTTAAGCATGAAAGCTAAATGGGTGACTTTGGGCCAATCACTAGGAGACGGTGAGTTCTAGTCCTGCCTTAGACACAAAAGCTAAGTGGGTGACTTTGGGCCAATCACCAGGAGATGGCGAGCTCTAGTTTTGACTTAGGCATGAAAGCCAGCTGGGTGACTTTGGGCCAGCCCTCCTTCTCAGCCCACCCCACCCCACCCCACCAGACTGTCATGGGAAAAACAGGCGGCAAAAGGCGCATGAGGTGTGTCCATTGCCCTGAGTTATTGATAAAAAATAATCCAGGCAGCATCAAACTTTGTTAATACACCAATATTCAAAAGACAAAAAGAGTCCCACTTACGTTGGATTGAAGCACTGGCGTCAGGCCACAAGCCAAGATGCCTTTTCCCGCGTATTCGTCCTGCAGCAGCTCGGCTGCCTTGGATCCGAGTCCCGAGAAGCCGTTGTGGAGGTCGCAGAGCAGCTGAAAACCCTGGGCGAGACAAAAAAAGGGTGCAGGGGATTGCTGGAGACTTCCTGGAGAGCTAAAATGCCAGCCGGGCCCCTTCCCAAAACGGGAGGGTTGAGAAAACAGCGGAAAGAGCGAAGAGGTGGCCGAGAACGCGTGCAAAAAATCTGGGATCAGCCCCTGGGAACCTGGAAGGCAGGAGAAAAGGCTGGCGGTCTTCCGAGGGTAGCTGAACTAGAACTCCCAGCGTGGAAACAAGAGAAACCCCAGGGAAGTTCCAAAGTTTCTCCAAACTTGGGAACTTGTAAGACTCGTGGACTTCAATGCCCAGAATTCCCCAACCAGCCATGCCAAAGTCAGGACTAGAACTCCCAGTCTCCTGGTGACGGGCACAAAGGCACCCAGCTGCCTTTCATGTCTAAGGCAGGACTAGAACTCCTGGTCTCCTGGTGACGGGCACAAAGGCACCCAGCTGTCTTTCAAGTCTAAGGTGGGACTAGAACTCACTGTCTCCTGGTGATGGACACATAGTCACCCAGCTGGTTTCGATGGCTGAGGCAGGACTAGAACTCCCAGTCTCCTGGTGACGGGCACAAAGGCACCCTGCTGGCTTTCATGGCTAAGGCGGGACTAGAACTCCCGGTCTCCTGGTTGATTGGTCTAAAATCACCCATCCTTGTTGTGGAATTCTGGGAGTCGAAGTCCACAGGTTTTAAAGCTGCCAAGTTTGGAGAGCCCTGCTTCCCAGCCACAGGGGCGCAAGATCCGTGCTGAGTGGATGACTTACCTGCAGGTAATCACACTCTTCCACGTAGAAGTGCAGCCGATCCTCCAGCTCCTCAAGGTACCGGCCGTCCTGCAGGAGTTTTTCTCCTTGTCCGAACGCCTCCAGCCGGCTGGACTCTCTGCAGCGGACAGGAAGCCAAATTCGGGCAGGTCCTCGTTGGGCAGGAGAAACAGGATTTCTTCCCCCCCCAAAAAAATTGGGAGAAAGGTTCCCCCTTCCTCCTCCCCGCCTGAGAACCGCCCAGCCAGGACCCCGACTCACTCCTCCCGGTTGTATTCGTGGATGGTCAGGATGCTCCGCGGGTGGAAATTGGTACGGAGGAAGTCGGACCAAGCGGGCGCGGGTCTCTCCGATGCCAGCGGCTTGGTGAGCTGCTGTGGCTTTCCTGGGAAAAGATACCACCAGAAGATGCACGGGCCACGTTTTAGCAAGGTGCCGGAAACGAGGGTCTTTGCGGTGGAAACCAAGCCCTTTAGCTTATGTGCTGTTTCCGGCAACCCAAATTTCGGCAAGCCCCTCTACTCAAAACAGAAGCTCCCAAACTATTATAAAATCTAACCTAGGGGTCTCCAAATGTGGCAATTTGAAGACTCGTGGACTTCAACTCCCAGAGTTATGCTGACCGGGGAATTCTGGGAGCTGAAGTCCCACCCAATAAAATGATAAAATAAAACATAAACATAAATGAAATGAAATAGGAAATGAAATGAAATGAAATTGAGACTAATTAAATTAAAAGAAACTTATATAAAATAAAATGCAATAAACTAAAATAAAATAAATAAATGGATAATTGCAATTAAATTAAAAAAAACTTACGGTATATAAAATTAAAATAAAATAAATAAAATATAAATAAAATGAATTGAAATTAATAAATTAAAATAAAATGCAATAAAATAAAAATAAAATAAATGGAAATTGCAATTAATTAAATTAAGAAGCTTATATAAAATAAAAAAAATAAAAAAAATTGAAATTAATAAAAGAAACTTATATAAAATAAAATGCAATAAAATTAGATTAAAATAAATGGAAATTGCAATTAATTAAATTAAAAAAGCTTATATAAAATAAAATTAAAATTAAATAAATAAAATAAATTGCAATTAATAAATTAAAAGAAACAAAATAAAATGCAATAAAATTAAATTAAAATAAAATAAATGGAAATTGCAATGAATTAAATTAAAAGCTTATATAAAATAACATTAAAATAAAATAAATGGAAATTAATAAATTAAAAGAAACTTATAAAATAAGATGCAATAAAATTAAATTAAAATAAATGGTAATTGCAATTAATTAAATTAAAAGAAGCTTATATAAAATAAAATTAAAATAAAATATAAATAAAATAAATTGAAATTAATTAAATTAAAAGAAACTTGATATAAAATAAAATGCAAAAAAATTAAATTAAAATTAAATAAAGCAGGCCGGCTCCATTACAGTAAGACCCTAACTGAGCACTATACACGCACACACACGGACACACAAACACACACACCTTTACCAGCAGGGAGGGTCTTAGATGCGAAATCGCCGTTGGAAAACCTTTCGCCCTGAAATAGAGAGAAAAAAAGGAGAAGAGCTGACATAGGAGGAAAATCAATCAATCAATAAATAAATCAGATCTCTGGTCCCAGTTTATCCATCCGCAAGACCGAGGTCCGCCCTCGGCAGGAAAAAGGAATAATTCTTAGAAATGGTGTGTGAGAGGACAGAGCGAGAAAGAGGCTCACCTCACGCTGGTCAAGTCCTTCCAAAAACGGACTGGGAGGGACTGGATCTTGCTGGTGCGTTGTGAGGTTCCCCTTCCTGGAAGGAAAAGATCCGTTCGTATCAACCAGAGCAGGAAATACAGGTGGTCCTCAAGCTTATGACCACAATCGGGAACAGAATTTCTGTTGCTAAGTAATAATAATAATAATAATAATAAAAGTTGGGACCTTGGAAAAAGAAAGAAGGAAAGGAAAGAAAAAAGAAAGAAAAAGGAGAAAATAAAATAGTCAATTGCCCATGGAAAAATCCGCTCACCAAGCCACGGGGATGTTGTTTTTCGGGTCCTCGTACAGGTATCCCTCCTGTTTCAGAGCGGCGAGACTTTCTGCCCAGAAATAAAAACAAATTTCTGGTTTTAGAGACCGCGGTGGACCGAAAGACATCAAGGGGCAGGCAAGTCCTCACTTTAGGTCTCCAATGGCGAACGTAATTTCCGCTAACGAGCGAGGCATTCGTGAAGGGAACCGCACCCGGTTTTGACAACCTCCCGCAAGGCCTCCGGTGCTTTTTCGACAGGATTTAGCACCCTTTTAACTCGTCACCTTTGAGGTCCATCAAGATGAGGCGGGGGGTGAAGGTCTCCCGTCCTTGCAAAGTCCTCCCCGTTCGGAACAGGACTTCATGCTGGATGACCTCGTCCAAGTCCGAAGCCGTGGAGTTGGATAAGAACAGAGCTTCCTGGAAAGCAGACATTAAAAGGTTAAAGACTTCAGAAAAAAAAATCAGATTTGGTGAAGATCTCTGAGGGGTCTCCTGCTGGAGCAGGGGGTTGGACTAGAAGATCTCTGGGGTCCCTTCCGATCGTAATGTCCTGTGTACTAAAATGGAAGAAGTTAATGAAGCCAAAGAGATCCCAATCTGAGCAGCGTTATTCGTCCCCGTCGCTGCAACATCTTGTCTTACGTCTTCAGCCTTTCTGCGTTTGCAGGTAGTCCTCGATTTACGACGCTTTGTTTAGTGACCGTCGAAAGCTGTAACAGCCCTGAAAAAAGCGATTTTCACACTAATGACCGTTGCAGGATCCCCNAAAAGTCGTAAAAGGGGGCAAAAGTCACTTACCAACCGTCTGGCTTAGCAACAGAAAATTTGGGCTCGGTTGTGGCCGTAAGCCAAGGACTGCCTGTGCAAGGAGCTTTGGGAGCAGGATCAAGGGGGGGGAGGGAGGTGCCCACCTCCCACCCCGCCAGCCCAAAATCCCTGATGCCTCCCCATAAATTCCACCCCACTCTCGTTCCGCGGCCCGAGAGATGCTTGCATTTACGAAGGCTCACCTCATAGTGGACGTACGGCAGAGCCACCGGGCCATCCAGTTTGAGCCCCAGGTTCCCGTTTAGCGACAAAGGGCAGAAGAGCGAACTGTGGCTGGCAAGCCGGACGATGCCCAGTGCCGTGTTCATGAGCCGGTAGAAATTCCGATGGGGGAGCTGCCGAGACAGAGAGAGAAAGGCAAGCGCCTCCTTCAGCCTAAGGTACAATCGCAGGACATGAACCTCAGAAGTTATTCCACTCCCCAAAAAAACAAAGGAACGATGAGGCAGGTCACCAGACGACATGAGAGGATGCAAGTCCTGCTTTCAGCATCCCTAAACGTTGATTTTCGCCCTTTGCATGCCGCTAGTCCTCAGCGAGGCCTGGGACCTAGTCTTGCTCATCTTCGGGGCCACTGCGGAGAAGACGGGAGCCCCAGATTGGTGTCGTGCTGCTGGTGCTGGCTTCGAAAGCATGAGGTGGCGGGTTCTAGTTCTGCCATCCAGCTGGGGTTGAGTTTGGGCCCAAGCACCAGGAGACGGTGAGTTCTAGTCCTGCCTTAGGCATGAAAGCTAAGTGGGTGACTTTGGGCAAATCACCGGGAGACGGTGAGTTCTAGTCCTGCCTTAGGCACGAAAGCTAAGTGGGTGACTTTGGGCCAATCACCAGGAGATGGTGAGTTCTAGTTTTGACTTAGGCATGAAAGCCAGCTGGGTGACTTTGGGCCAGCCCTCCCTCTCAGCCCACCCCACCCCACCAGACTGTCATGGGAAAAACCGGCGGCAAAAGGCGCATGAGGTGTGTCCATTGCCCTGAGTTATTGATAAAAAATAATCCAGGCAGCATCAAACTTTGTTAATACACCAATATTCAAAAGACAAAAAGAGTCCCACTTACGTTGGACTGAAGCACTGGCGTCAGGCCACAAGCCAAGATGCCTTTTCCCGCGTATTCGTCCTGCAGCAGCTCGGCTGCCTTGGATCCGAGTCCCGAGAAGCCGTTGTGGAGGTCGCAGAGCAGCTGAAAACCCTGGGCGAGACAAAAAAGAGGGTGCAGGGGATTGCTGGAGACTTCCTGGAGAGCTAAAATGCCAGCCGGGCCCCTTCCCAAAACGGGAGGGTTGAGAAAACAGTGGAAAGAGCGAAGGGGTGGCCAAGAACGCGTGCAGAAAATCTGGGATCAGCCCCTGGGAACCTGGTAGGCAGGAGAAAAGGCTGGCGGTCTTCCGAGGGTGGCTGAACTAGAACTCCCAGCGTGGAAACGGGATTGTAGAAACCCCAGGGAAGTTCCAAAGTTTCTCCAAACTTGGGAACTTGTAAGACTCGTGGACTTCAACGCCCAGAATTCCCCAACCAGCCATGCCAAAGTCAGGACTAGAACTCCCAGTCTCCTGGTGCTGGACATATAGTCACCCAGCTGGTTTCGATGCCTAAGGCGGGACTAGAACTCCCAGTCTCCTGGTGATGGGCACAAAGGCACCCAGTTGCCTTTCATGTCTAAGGCAGGACTAGAACTCCCGGTCTCCTGGTGACGGGCACAAAGGCACCCAGCTGTCTTTCAAGTCTAAGCTGGGACTAGAACTCACTGTCTCCTGGTGATGGACACATAGTCACCCAGCTGGTTTCGATGGCTGAGGCAGGACTAGAACTCCCAGTCTCCTGGTGACGGGCACAAAGGCACCCAGCTGCCTTTCATGTCTAAGGCAGGACTAGAACTCCCGGTCTCCTGGTGACGGGCACAAAGGCACCCAGCTGCCTTTCATGTCTAAGGCAGGACTAGAACTCCCGGTCTCCTGGTGGATTGGTCTAAAATCACCCATCCTTGTTGTGGAATTCTGGGAGTCGAAGTCCACAGGTTTTAAAGCTGCCAAGTTTGGAGAGCCCTGCTTCCCAGCCACAGGGGCGCAAGATCCGTGCTGGGTGGATGACTTACCTGCAGGTAATCACACTCTTCCACGTAGAAGTGCAGCCGATCCTCCAGCTCCTCAAGGTACCGGCCGTCCTGCAGGAGTTTTTCTCCTTGTCCGAACGCCTCCAGCCGACTGGACTCTCTGCAGCGGACAGGAATCCAAATTCGGGCAGGTCCTCGTTGGGCAGGAGAAACAGGATTTCTCCCCCCCCCAAAAGAAATTGGGAGAACGGTTCCCCCCTCCTCCCCGCCTGAGAACTGCCCAGCCAGGACCCCCGACTCACTCCTCCCGGTTGTATTCGTGGATGGTCAGGATGCTCCGCGGGTGGAGATTGGTACGGAGGAAGTCGGACCAAGCGGGCGCGGGTCTCTCCGATGCCAGCGGCTTGGTGAGCTGCTGTGGCTTTCCTGGGAAAAGATACCACCAGAAGATGCACGGGCCACGTTTTAGCAAGGTGCCGGAAACGAGGGTCTTTGCGGTGGAAACCAAGCCCTTTAGCTTATGTGCTGTTTCCGGCAACCCAAATTTCGGCAAGCCCCTCTACTCAAAACAGAAGCTCCCAAACTATTATAAAATCTAACCTAGGGGTCTCCAAATGTGGCAATTTGAAGACTCGTGGACTTCAACTCCCAGAGTTATGCTGACCGGGGAATTCTGGGAGCTGAAGTCCCACCCAATAAAATAATAAAATAAAACAAACATAAATGAAATGAAATAGAAAATGAAATGAAATGAAATTGAGACTAATTAAATTAAAAGAAACATATAAAATAAAATGCAATAAACTAAACTAAAATAAATAAATGGATAATTGCAATTAAATTAAAAGAAACTTATATAAAATTAAAATAAAATAAATAAAATATAAATAAAATGAATTGAAATTAATAAATTAAAATAAAATAAAATGCAATAAAATAAAATAAATGGAAATTGCAATTAATTAAATTAAGAAGCTTATATAAATAAAATAAAAAAATAAATTGAAATTAATAAATTAAAAGAAACTTATATAAAATAAAATGCAATAAAATAAAATAAAAATAAAATAAATGGAAATAGCAATTAAATTAAAAGCTTATATAAAATAAAATTAAAATTAAATAAATAAACTAAATTGAAATTAATAAATTAAAAGAAACAAAAATAAATGCAAAAAAATTAAATTAAAATAAAATAAATGGTAATTGCAATTAATTAAATTAGAAGCTTATATAAAATAAAATTAAAATAAAATATAAATAAAATTAATTGAAATTAATTAAATTAAAAGAAACAAAATAAAATGCAATTAAATTAAAATAAAATAAATGGTAATTGCAATTAATTAAAAAGCTTATATAAAATAAAATTAAAATAAAATATAAATAAAATAAATTGAAATTAATTAAATTAAAAGAAACTTGATATAAAATAAAATGCAAAAAAATTAAATTAAAATTAAATAAAGCAGGCAGGCTCCATTACAGTAAGACCCTAACTGAGCACTATACACGGACACACAAACACACACACACCTTTACCAGCAGGGAGGGTCTTAGATGCGAAATCGCCGTTGGAAAACCTTTCGCCCTGAAATAGAGAGAAAAAAGGAGAAGAGCTGGCATAGGAGGAAAATCAATCAATCAATCAATCAATCAATCAATCAATCAATCAGATCTCTGGTCCCAGTTTATCCATCCCTAAGACCGAGGTCCTTCCTCGGTAGGAAAAAGGAATAATTCTTAGAAAT